CCCCAAAACCCCAAAACCCCAAAACCCCAAAACCCCAAGTGCCCACCAAGTCTTAAAACTCCCTAATCTCAATACATATCTAAAATCTGAACTATCAGCCTCCACAAGCACTAAAAATCTTCTATCTAAAATACCTAAACCCCATATATTCAATCCCTAACATTGCCTATGACCTACCAAAATTTCTCTTTTTCTTCTTCACTATACTAAACCCTCCTACATTGCTCATCAAAATTTCAGATTTTCTGAAATTCAGCTGTATCAAGACAAATTTATAAATGTTTAGTTATGGTAAAAATCTAGTTTTAGGGTAACTTTGAAATTTTATGTGGAGTTCGGGATGGATCAATTTTGGGGGTTTGGGAGGAAGAAGAAATTGAGGAAGATGGTGAAAAGGGATTTTGTATTTTTGAAAAGAGTTGGGTGTTTTAGTTAGGGTGGGGTGGGGTTTTGGGAAATGAGGGGAATGTGTGTAGAAGTGAGAGTAGTGGGAGGGATTTTGGAGTGATTGGGTGTTTTAATTGGAAGTTTTGCTTTGGGATTGGAGAATGATGAGTGTTTTAAGCTCCAATAAGATCAACCTTAAATGCAAATAAATTCACCCAAACCAATTCTTCCATCTAGAATCTCCTCTAATCCTAAAATTACCCTCTCAACCCCGCCTCTAATCCCCAATATTTCCACTACACCCTCTCCCCAATCACTTCATCAAAACTCTACTTTTCCATCAGATGCTTACACACAAAACCCATTCTTGTTTCTTCCAACATGGATCCCCTCAAGACCTACTGAATCCATGAGTTCTCTGATTTCACTGTGATATCTTCCTGTTTCTCCAAACTCCATTGTCTTCAATTTGCTCTTGAGCTTTCATTCGGAAATTCCGAGGAGAATGTAATCCAACCTCTCAGGATAATCTATCCAATTACTATTTTCTATCCTGCCTGACATCGCAAAGCTCAGTCTCTCCAGTCTGCAACAATCCTGTACATAGAACTTGCAGTTTGAGGAGTCAATAGTGCAGCACGAGAACTCGAGCGTTGTGAGGAGAGGACTGGACGACAGGATTAGTTGAAATAGTCTTTTGGGGACCTTGAAAGCTGTTATTTGTAAGCCAGATGTGCGACAAGTGATCAGAGGGAGGAGGAATTTCCAGGGCATATGGTGATACTGATTGACTCCATGAATGATTTTGATCATTTCGAATTTTGACTTTTTCATCTTTTGAAAAAAGATTTTATCCTTCTTAATCATGTCTGAATTCAAGCAAACCTCAAAAGTTGATATTCCAAAGCTTGGCCAACTGATCCTTTCAAATTTCTTAAGCACTCCTCTCTTATTAGAAATCTTTGGAGAATTGAAGTTCACAGTCAATAGGGAGGGATAGCCTGTTCTTTCGTCAAGTTCTCTTTTCACATTAAAATCCAGTGAAGTCTCTTTATACTTTAATTTCTTTTCTTTCCTGCTGACTTTAAATCAATCCATATTATAAATTCTATATTTTTAATTCAACAATTTTTAAAATTTCGGGGTTTTGGGGTTTTGGGGTTTTGGGGTTTTGGGG